CCACTGAAGTATGCCCTATTGTGTTTTACACGTGAAAGAAAGTGAAGTTCATAGAGGTTGAATAAATTACCCAATAGACCCCCCAAATTAATTCATTAGTAGTTATTTAGGTTTTGAGACTTTTCATGGTACTCTGAAAATATATACAACATAGAGGTGATAAAGTCACTTAGTTAACCCTTTAGAAAACCTTGAAATTAGTCAAAGTGACTCTAGAGTCTGATAAGGGTTCCTTGGGCTACTTCCCCTTTGATTTTTCTCATAACAACACATACATCAATAGTATGTGGCAGAGCTGATATTTGAACCTGGGTGTATTTCCAATATTAGAGCTCATGTTCGCCTATCATTCCTCCCCAGCTAAAACATGTGACATAATTAGGTAGAAGACAGTATAGGGGTTCCTCCGAGAAGAAAAAGTAATTAAGCATGTGATTCTGCAATTCTACTTCTAGGTACACACCCCCAAAGAATTGAAAATGGGCTTGAATGGATATTTATGTACTAGGATTTATAATGACATTATTTACAATAATCAAAAAATGGAAACCACCAAATGTTCCTTGATTGACAAAAAAAATAAATAAAATATCATATGTATATACAAAGGAATATTATCAAATTCTGACACATGCCAAAGCACATATGAACCTTGAAAACATTATGCTAAATGAAGTAAGCTGGATGTAAAAGGATGAATTTTGTACGATTCTGTTTACCTAAGATTTTCAGAACAGCCTAATTCATAGAGACCTAAAGTCCAATGGTGGTTGCCAGGGTGGGGAGGAGTGAGGAATTGGAAACTTATGGTCTATGGACATAATTCAGTTTAGAAAGAGGCAAGGGTGCTTAGGAGGAAGATGGGTGTTCAACATTAGGAATACACTAACTGCCAGAGAACTGGACACTTAAAATGGTCAATATAGTGTGTTTATTTTACCACAAGAAAAGAAACAATTAGGACTTAGGTGTGTACTGAAATATAAAAGCTATAACCACAAAAGTCATCATTTGCCACCTACTTTCTAAAAGACAACTGGAACCAAATAAGCAGATCTTGTTCAGTTCCCTGAACTATAAATGTCTTACTTTGTGTTCACTGAAGATCAACATAAGCAACTACTATAGTGACTCTTTCAAGATCAGATGGAACCATAAAATGCAAGTGTCAGGATGAATTCTAGCAGGAACAGCTTATTTTAAGGGACAGCCAACACCTTATCTTTTCACTCCATAGTGAACAAAAACACTCTGAGAAAGAAATCTTGAAATGATAACTGAGGAACCAGTTTAAAGGGCACAATGGCACGCTCCTGTAATTCCAGAGACTCTGGAGGCTGTGGCAGGAGGATTGTAAATTCAAGGCCAGCCTCAGCAATTTAGTGAGGCCTTAAGCAATTTAGGGATACCCTGTCTCAAAATAAAAAATAAAAAGGGCTGGGGATGTGGCTCAGAGGTTGAGTACCCCCAGGCTAAATTCCTAGAACCAAAAACAAACAAACAAAAAAATCTTTTTATTTTCTAATCTATATATTGTGAGTATCAAATAACCTGAGGGAAATATTAAACACCTTTTTTGGTCACATATTGGGATTCTTATCTGCAACATTTTTAAAGTAATTAAATTGGCGCATTTTAGTGCCCTAGATTCTGGCCCAGTTTGATCATTGTAAAAATACAGCTATCAAAAATGATATAGACATTACTGTTCCTTGATTAGTAAGTTGTTTTGTGTTGTTTCTGGCCCTCTTGGTCAGAAGCTTCTCAGCAATCAAATGAAATTTACATCATGCTCAATCCAGAACCCCACAAGAAGCCAAACTAACCTTATAAGATTTACTGAATAAATAAACCAAAGTATATTTTTCCTTCCAAACTTCAAGAATCTTACAAACAAATAAATTAATATGGAAATTAAATGCAGTATCTTTGACAAACTCATACTCATCAAAGAATGTTATGATATAGGCAATTATTCATTGTTAATACATTAACTCCTGAGATTTCAAATCCGAATATCTCAATAAAATTGACACTGGTGCATTAAAATAGGTTGGACATTGTAATCTAGATAGTATATATTATTTTACTAATCAATATTAACTGATTAAATTACTCTATAATATATTGTCATGTTAATGTTAATTAGTATAAAATATTATAATAATTATATTCTGATCACATGATTATATGATATGTAACATAATCATACAATATAATATAACCATATCATATAATTTAACCACATTATATATTGCATACTATATTTTAATTTTTATAGATATTCCAAATCTAGGACAATGAACAAAATGGGTTTTAAAAAACATTTGGCTGCTTCTGAAGCCTAACTCTCTTCCAATTTAGTTTTTTTTAATAGTCCTTGAAGACAGTTGGAAAGTGACACCTTATTTTCCAGTTTTCACAATCTTTGGGTACCCTATGCAAACGGCTGGCTGCATTTTCTCATCATAATGCTATCCTAGTATCTTCAAATCACATTTATCCCCAGCAAATTATAAGCGTGAAGCTGGCCTTTCCTTTCCATTCTGTTCTATGAAGGCCTGCCTTGTGCAAAAAACAAGCATTAACCCTTTTGAAGTTTTTTTTATTTTGAGACAAGGTCTCCACTAAGTTGGTTAGGGCTGCACTAACTTGCACAGGCTGGTCTTGAACTTGTGATCCTCCTTCCTTAGCCTCCCAGTGAGATTAACAGATTTGGGGCCACAGTGCCTGGCCAAACATTAGTTCTGAAGCCATAGGGAGCAGAGTGAACCAAATAAATGAAAAGCATGTTTGACTTGTCTTTCCACTTCAGAGACAGAAAAGTCATGTAATATCATCGGTCTCTAGATCCTTGCTTTTACTACTTGGTAAAACAAAGTAAGGCAACAAAAATAACAATGGAAAGTGTTTTTTCTTAAGGTCTTTCCAGCTATGTAATTTTGTGGTCCCTGTGGAATATCTTATGTAGGCAGTAAGGATGCAGGTAGTAAGGCTGATAGTAAATAGCTTGAACAAGGTATGCTGATCAGTTATATGGTTTGCATTTAAAGGCGGTTCCATCCAAATATTCAAAACTAAGATAGTGTCCCTCGACCATAGCAAATATAACTTTTTTGCAACTATGATGAACTGCTGATTCTCCCCTTCTCTTGTCATAAAGAGAACTTCTTATTTTTAGAAGGTTTGTGACCACACAAGATAACACACCAGTTACACTTCCTGGTCTCTCTTATAACTAGATAAGTGCATGTGAGTGAAAGTGACAAGACAGGTCAAATCCTTAAAGGGGGTGAACATAACCTCCCTGACTGTTCTCCTTTTTCACTGGCAGGAATTTGAATGTGGAAGTGAGCTATCCTGAGGCAAGAGGGTGGGCACCACTGCACAGATGGAAAAAAGCAAGGCAGCTAGAGCCAGGGTCCCTAACCCTTTGTGGCCCCACACCCTGGAGTCCTTATGTCTGGATTGTAACACAGAAAGGAAAAGCACGTCCTTTCTGGATCAGCTGCTGCTATTTGCAGTCTATTTCAGCAGACACACAGGCCAACACCATAAACTTACCGTGATGATTTAGAGGCTGCTTCATAATTTTGCAAAGTAGGTTCAAGACCTCAAAATGATCCATTTTTCAATTGGAAAGGACCTTGAAGTTTACCGGATCCCCTCACTTTATTGATGAGGAAATTGAAGATTAAATGAGTAAATAAACTTCTTGAGCCTCATGGGTAGCTGGAAGTAGGACTGGCATTAGATCTCCTGACCTTGAGCTCATTCTTTCCCTTTGTGGTCCAATTAGCAGAACTCCTGGAAATTATCCTGGAGATTCTATCTTGGAGGCCTAAACAACTTACTCTCTGGAACCTGGGACTTTCTTTTTCTAAGACAACCTACGAACAGCTGCCATTCTACACACTCCGACAAGGCGGCTCATGCTTCCACTACAAGAAGAAAACATAGCATGTGGAGGTCCAGGCCTGTGACATCATGCTTCACCCGGGGATGACAGGAAAATCAGGAAGACTTAGGGTTTTACTTCCTGTCTTGCTGAACCTGGCCTGGGAAGTTTCCCTTTTCTCCAATAAAACTGATTTTTTTTTTCTATAACTAGCATTTGAGATTTGTCTAGAACCCTGAAGCATGACAGCTGGAAACTCAGAATTATTTATTAGACAGAATTATTATAATACAGAAAAGTTATACAAGGTACAATAACTTGTATTATAAAGCATATCAATAATTCACATTTAATTTGATATTACAAAAAATTATCTATAACTAGCAATGAGGGTAACTTCAGCTGTCAAGGGAACAACATAGAGAACAAACAAATCATTGAATTCTCCACCATGTGCCCAACCACAGCTCCCTTTAGACAAGGGAGGACATTGGTATAGTTGTGATTAAAAACCTGCCAGTTGGATGCAGTGACACAGGCCTGTAATCCCAGCCATGTGACAGGCTGAGGTAGGAGAATCAAAAGTTAAAGGCCAGGGGCTGCGGTTGTGGCTCAGTGGTAGAGCGCTCGCCTAGCATGTGCTAGGCGCTGGGCCTGATCCTCAGCACCACATTAAAAAAAAAAAAAAAAGAAGAAGGTATTGCATTCAACTACAACTAAAAAATATTTTAAAAAATAATAAGAAGAAGTTAAAGGCCAGCCTCAGCAACTTGGGGAACTGTGTCTCAATATAAAAAAAAAAAATTAAAAGGCAGTGTGTAGCTCAGTGATAAAGCATCCCTGGGTTCAATACCCAGTACCACAATAAATAAATAAATGAATAAAAGAAGTAAATCAATCCATCAATCTGCCAAAGGTCCCACAGAAAGTGAAAAGTCCAATCTAACTGTAGCATACAGGGTCCTTGACCTTACTTTTGCAATTGTACATTTTTCCTTAAAGGGCCTATAGACCATGCTTGCATTTACTTATAAAACTAAAAGTTTATATTTGAATGTCTCAAAATTCCATTTTTTTCAGGCCACTGCCCCGAATCTCTTACCATCCTCATTTTCATCAAACACTGGTGGTTTGCTTGAGGTATTGGCTCCCATGATCAAGTCTGTCCAAATCTGGACTCTCCAGTTACATCATCCAGGAAGAAATACTCATCTTTGCTCAAAACAAGCCCCAGAAACTTAGCTGGGTATCTAGGAAAGAAAAAGAAATGATATCTTTAATATATGGTATACTCTAGAGGCCCTGAGTAGAGGCTGGCAAAATATTAAACTAATCTGTATCACTGCAGTGGAAATTTTTGTCATTGCAAATTATGATTTTAGAAGTAATAAGACAGAAAGCAATAGAAGAACCTGCCACATGGCTTCATCTTTAGCAAACCTGGACTTACAAAGTAGGAGGAAAACAAAATAGTTTTCTAAGTATGAAGAAAATTTTAAAATGAGCCTAGCAATGCTTTATTTAAGCGTAAGACAAAATAATATTTGTGAATATTTATATACTTTAGAAAATATTCTAGTTTTATATTTTCTTTTTATGTTATATGCAACTTCACCTTTTTAGTCATAAGGCTGCGTTTGCCATGTTTTTCCTCCTGACCCAGAAGTTACCTCACAGTAAAAGAAGCAAGTTCTGAGTTGGGCTTTACCACACCAGAAAGTGGGTGAATTTCTGTAAATGTGTTTCATTTTTTTCCTTCCCCTGAACTTGGAAATGATAATGGTCCTTACCTCAAGGGAGACTTAAATGTGATATACATACATTCAACTCTTCATAAGTGTATACACATATATACACAAGTATATATGTGTATACACTTACGTACACATATATACCCGAATGTGTGTGTATATATATATATATATATATATATATATATATATATATATATATAATTTTATATATGACTAGCTCCTATATGACTAAATGTTCATTATATAGTATTTACGTATATGTTACACCATTTATGAAAATACATGCCTTTATGTATTGAGGTACATAGACATAGCCTAAGATACATTTATTCAGCAAAGTGTTTTCAGAGCATAAGTGCTTAGTAATTGTTGTCTAAAATTAAATGATGTATCTGAGAGATTAAAATCCTTCAAAATTATGCAGTTATGGCTTTGTTCCCCTTTACAACATAACAATGAAGAATCTTACTTTCTCTGGAGTTGGTAAGGACAGTCAGCAGGCCGTGTTCCAGTACTAAAACTGACAAGGATCACAGCTTGAGAAGAGTTACTTAGCCTCTGGCCTCCAGAATGGGGAAATAACTTGTCTTCCTCTGGAGTCTCAAGTTCAGATGGCTCTAAGTGGCAGGCGTTCATGCAAATGAGCAAACCAGATCAGGTATTGACCACTAGAGCTCGGTGAGGACTTAACTATTCTAAGATCAAGAGATGGTTACCAAGTAGAAACATGGGACCAGATCTTTCAATTAACGAAACATGGGAGCAGAGGACCAGATCTTTCAATTAACGAAAGAGTAAAACTGACCATTTTACAAAATACTATTTTAAAATTCAGCTCAGCTATATGGTCTGAGAAAATTTCTTGATTGAGACAAAGATGGCTCATGGATGTATTTAATGAGACAATTTCTACAAGGTGATTAACATGATGCTTGGCACATAGTACAGAAAGAATTAATATCAGCTCCTGCCACTTTGCTAATAGCAGTTTTCCATAGTGTTGCATGATTTTTTAAAGTGTTGACACCTGTCGATTGATTGCCTCTTGGACTTTTTATACACCTGTCGATTGATTTCCTCTTAGACTTTTTACACTTGAAGGAAATACAGATTGGAGGCAGAATTGAAGCAAGGGTCTAACTTAACATGCATTGTGGATGAATTCTTGGAAAAGAACTTGGGAAGCCCCTCAGCAAGTGTAGAAGAAAAGCTCATTTCCCCATTAGGAAAATGTAAGTACAGCTTTCATTTGGAAAGCAGACTCATTAAGGAAATGCTACTTTTCATACTAAAAGCCAACTGCTGGCAAAATGCCTTATAGACTTTAAAAAGAATCATTAAATGGAGAGCAAAGAAAGAGTCAGCAATTAGGAAACAACCAATTAAATGGGATGAAAGAGAGGAGGATGGGGGCAGGTGGTAATAGGTGGCTGAAGGAAGCTCAGTGGAATTATTGAGACCCAGGAGGACAGAAAAACTCAATTGTCTTTCTAGATTAAGAAATCAAAAAGACCTTAAACTCTTGCAGGAAAGGCAATCAAGAAGCAAGTGGGATGCACTTTGTGTCTCTAACAAGAGGGGAATAGTATAAGGATCTAATGAAGTGATTGGTCCTAAGGAGAACGGAGAACATGAATTTTAAGGAATTGCAATTGTTAATGTTATAGACTGGGACTATATTCTCTCATTTTGTGCCTAAAATCTGAGTACTTGTAGCTTTTACTCCACACTACAGTCCTATCATTCTCGTATTTTTCTTCATACCTGAGTTTTTTCTCAAGTAGCCGGTCTTGCTGTGACATAAAAGGTACCAAGCATTGACCTTGCAAGTTGTCAAATCAGAAGGAAAAAGAGGAAGGAATGTTATCACAATTTTTCACATCAAAGAGTTTCATTCTGAGGTGCAGACAATTTGTTCACACAGACTCAGTGATTTTTAGTGAGAAGAGAATACATAAATGGGGAGACCACTTTTGTGGATGTTTAGAGGAGGGGCAGCAGGTTGGATTATTGAGTGATGGTTTAATATCTTCTCCATTGGGCCTAACCTACACAATCCCGTCTAGGATTGCCCTCCTCTGTCTCTCCCCCAGTTAAATTTAGTTAATTTAATTAAATTAAATAAGTTAGCCTCATATCCAAAAAGAAATCAATCTTCCTCTGGCTGGAAAAATCAAGAGGCATTCTTTTCATTCTGCCAAAAAAAAAAAAAAAAAAAAAGCCAGTAGAACTGTAGGTCTCTCTTCTACCAAATACCCTACTTTCCCTCATCTCCTGGTTTTAAGTCGACAGCATTAGATAAGCATTAAGAGGGCTGCCTCCATGCATAGAAATGAAAATCCTAAATGTAGAACACATAAAAAGGAAGAGAAATTTGTCTTGCAGGAACACAGGGAGTGTTCAGATTCTACCACAACAAGGCCAATTTTCAGATTATTAACTGCAGACTAGTTCTCCAATATCAATATTTCACCTTTGGACAATACTCTTGGGATTTGGCAGGAAGTGAACTTCTTTGTGCAGCTAAGGCTTCTGGGTAAAGAGGTGTCATCTTCTAGAACTGGAGAACATGAAGTGTCATGCAAGAAGGCTGCAACTTCTGATAGAACTGTTTAGATTGCATTGTCACAACATGGGCAGAGATATATCTTATTTCTCTTTATTTGGGCACTTAAATTGAGAAATATTTAGAAACAGATTTTTTTTATTCTTTTTAGTTATACATGACAGTAGAGTGTATTTTGATATATCACACATACATGGACTTCCCATTCTTGTGGTTTTACATGATGTGGAGTTACACTGGTCGGATGTTCATATATGAACATAGGAAAGTTATGTCAGATTCATTCTCCTGTCTTTCCCATTCCCATCTCCCCTCCCTTCTTCCATTCCCCCTGTTCAATCCAGTGAAGAAACAGAGTTTTGAAATAAGAAAACATTATGAAAAACATCCAAGTTAACAACACACTTAGTAATTTTTATTTGTATTTTCAATCTTGCTTCATTATAATATATCAAAAATTACAGGTAAATACTATTTCCACATTAACCCTTGTGCCATATTGATTCCCTGTCATACTTCCCAAAGACAGCCACAATCATGAATCTGGTGTACCTTTTACACTCCACTTTCTACAATTTTACATGTCATATGACAAGTGTCTTAGCATCTTGCTATGCTCATTTGCCATTATATTTTTAAGATTTAGGGGTACATATATGTTGATTTCTGCTTTCTTTTTGGGGGGGCAAGGGGGTAGGGTACTGTGGTTTGAACCCAGAGGCACTTTACCACTTTGCTACATCTCCACCTTTCATTTTTAATTTTGAGACAGGGTCTCTTTAAGTTGCTGAGAGTATTGTTAAATTGCAAGGCTGGCATAGAGCATGCGATCCTGTATTTCTCTGGGTTACCACCCCACCAGACTGATTTCTGCTTTTTAAGTGAATACAACATATTTTACTCTCCCACATAAAAATATTCAAATACTGCAGCCTTGTGGGGTTCTGAAGAAAACCATCAAAAGTAGATTTTGCTTGTTTTGAAGTTGGATAGGGGAAACAAGAAGAAATACCTCTCAACCTAGCAAATATTTTTTGAAATCTATGTCTGGGCCTGAGTCAGTGTGGGGCTCAGGGAGCAGGTGAGGTGCAGAGTAGCTAGTATTGGTCCCATCTTGCATCTGGTCGCGTGGATTATCTCACCCGGCTGCCTTTCTCTTATCTCTCTTTACACTTAACTTCCTAGTTTCCCAGTAGGGCTCCTTATTAGGAGCAGGAGGAATATATGCATCTCTCCACTCCCTTGGTCCCCATTCATCCTTCACTCCTCCCATGCAGCTCAGAAAGATGCTTCCATCCAGGGAGCGGGAGAAGAAAACTCAGACAGCAAGGAGATGAAGGAAAGGCACCTACCTTCCTGGACACAGCGGCGGCGACTGCGAGCGCGGGGCAGGGCGACGTGGCGCTGCGTTGGGGCTCACTGGCACCTGCAGCTGCGGAAGGGTCCGAGCGCCGCCCGAGCGCGCGTGGAGGTGGGGCGGTTCCCCGACCGGGGAGGGAGGCGAGGAGCAGCTTGCCAACCCGCGTCCCAGTCGGCGCCCTCCCCAGAAACCGTCGGGCAGTCGCCTGGGTGAGAGCCAGTCGCCGGGGGACCGTGCGTCTCCCGCAGAGGCCGGACAAGGGCCCCGGGGAGAGCCAGGCGGGAGGAGAGGGCTGTGGGCGCGGTTCCAAGCCGACGGCGGGGATCCAGCGGCGCCCCGGCCGGGTCCGGAGCCTCCCCGTCGCAGAGCGCTCCCCAACTTCCCGGACTGGGGCGGAGTTCCCCTGAAGTGACCCCTGGAAAGGACCCGCGTAGTGCTGCGTTGGGGGTGGATGTGGTGGTGGCAGGTAGCCGCCTGCAGATCTTAGATGCGGAGAGGCAAGACTTCCCTTAAGACTTCTCTGGGGAATGGGGAAAATCCAACAGAAGGAGAATGTTACCGGTTCTCGCAGGAAAGACCCTTTAAGGAGTATGGGGCTGGTATATGTATTCATTTTATTGCTGAGGGAATTGTGGCACAGAGACAGGAAATATTGCCCAGTGTAGCCTAACAGTGAGAGGAGAGAACACATATCCTGATTCCCTGCTCCAATTTTCCCATGGTCTTCATTACCTTCACGGTCTCTTTGTGAAAGTGGGTGCCAGGGATAAGAAGTGTATGTGTTCATATTCTCTGCTATGACTGCTTCCTCTAATTCTCTTTGTAATGACCAACACGGTGGAAATAACTTGTTATTGCTTTACTCTAATCCAGGAGTGACACACACCTAAGTCAAGGGAGAACTAGCTTATCTGTTGCTTCTAAAGTGGTGAGGGTGTGTGACAGGGACTGTGGTGGGGCAGAGAGACTAGGACAGTGTGAGCCTCGTATGGGGGTTTGGTGGGAACTGCTTCTATGCAGATTCACAATTCCCTGCCACGTGGCAATGCCAGATACTCAGATTTGTAAAGAGAAACTGGAAACAAGACTTTTGTATTCCATTTCCTATTGGCAACTTGAAAAAAATGTTAAACTGTGTTGGACAAGCAGTTCATGTGTCTGTGGTTGAATGTCTTTTTCAGACTCCTGCTGTTTTGATCTATCTAGATGGAAACTTCCAGAGAGTACAGAAGCTCCACGGGCCTGGTACACCATTTTTACAACTAACTCTTGGAGTGGTACTTGATGTATCTTAAATATCTCAAATAACTGTGAAAGCACTGGTAGTCTACTGAGTCAAGTCTCACCATGTACTCATTAAAGGAATATTTCAGGATAACGCCATTGTCCTCAAAGCCTCTCCCTGTTCTTTTTCTCATCTCAGACATAGGTTAGTTTTTCCCTAGTATTTTACAATAACTTTCAACTGTAGTTAACTCACTTGCTTATTTTGCATTTGGGGTCCAGAAGAAAGGATTTGCCAAAGTGAGTTAGTGACAGAGCTGGGTAGACACTTACTTGCCATGCTGCTGTTCTTTGTACCTTTTGTGGTGGTACAAAGATCCTGTCTGGAAGATTTGATGCTATAAATTAACATTTAATGTGAAATTGGGGCAAGATGCAAAAGAGAGCTAAAATTAGTCAATTTCAGGAAAAAAGTAGACTATTTAAGGGATTTATTTTTTGGCAGAGGGTGTGGTTTTTAAAGTGGATATCAGACACCTGTCAAAAAACTTGTTGTTTTGTGTAACTTTTAGTAGTTCACAAAACTAATTATCTTCATGGCATTGGGCATGCAGTATAAATTTGCTGAACCTATTATTATCTTTTCACCCTGAGGACATACTGATATTCATTTAATCACCAAACACACGGAAACTTCAAGAAACTGGGCTGAGACAGGACCTGAAGGCCCTGGAAACTTCTTCAGTGTGGTAATCTGTTTGGTGTGGAGGGTTTAGAGTCACAGTCTCACCAAATGCTCACACTGCCACTTAAGTCTCTGAGATAGTGGCCAATTTAGAGACCTTGATCTTTAGTTTTATAATTTCAGTAAAGGGACCAATGTCATCTCTGTCACCTGTGATTGATGGAAGATTAAATGAGATATTATATGTATATAATGCATTTTACATATATGCATGTATGTTCATATAAAATGCATTTGATAGGTTGTTAGGCAACACAGAGTAAGCACTCAGAAACTGGCAATTATTAAAGTTGTGATTTCAATGAACAGACAACCAGGTTATGTACTAATGTTTCTCATACCTGCTGTATAAATCATTCTTCTGTTGGTTCAGTCACTTTCATCAAAAAAACTAATCAGTTCTAATGCATGTACAGGCTTGATATATCTTTGTAGAAAAACATGATCCTTATTACTCTATAATTTGCAGTCTTTTCAATGACTGCAGTTTAAAAGAGAGGATGATGTTTTAATCTTTTATTCATTCAGTTATGCTCACTCTTTTGTTGGTGTTCCTGTCTTAAACAGCTGTTGGAGGCTGCCACAGCGAAGATACTTGGGAGAGGAGGCCACATAATATCATGACAATCTCTGGAGCCCCCTAGTGGACAGAAGGATGAAGTAATAAGAAAGTCTTTGACACAGTCTTGTCCAGATACATAGAATTTTTAAGATGTAAAATCTAAGTCATATGGCTCTCAACACAAACTTTAATAACAGACAGATTCGACCATGTCATTCTTGCCATAAATTTCTCCACTGAGTTCCATTGTATTTAGAGTAAAAGGACACTCTACTCCAGGAGCGTGGCCTTGTGCTGTCCGTCCCCTGCCTCTCTGTCCAGTTCATCTAGGGTTGGTGTTTCTCTGCTCACTCCACTCCAGCCCACCTGCCTTCTGCTATTTGAATATCACATCTAATTCGCCCCACTGTGGACATTGAATAGCTCTTCCTTATTAATGCACGTTTCCAGAAACCTCAATTGGCACCATCTCACCTTCCTCAGCTCACATTTACTGTGACCTTATCTCAACCTTTATCCTGAAGTTGTTCCCCCCCCCCCACTGGCCATTCCCTCCGTTCTCCACTGTAGACTCTAATTTCTTGTCTCACCACTCTTTAGGAGCTATATTTTGTTTGTGTAACTCCTTTGTTTCCCCCATTGAATATACTTTCCACATAGCATCATCCTGCCTACTATTAAATGTACAACACTGAACTCGAATTTGGCACAGAGGAGTTATTCAAGAAAATCATACATGTTAATTTATTCCCATCATTCTTTTCATTGAGAAATTCAGGAGGAGAATATAATGAAGATATACTCTACCACAAAGCAAGGGCACTCTATCACTGAGCTATGTCACCAGCTATTTTTAGTTTTGTTTGTTTTTTTAAATTTATTTTTAAACAGGGCCTCCATAGATTGCCAAGGCTGGTCTCAAACTTATGATTTTCCTGCCTCAGCCTTCCAAGTGGCTGAGATTACAGACATGTGCCACCGTGCCCAGTTGAAGAACCAAATATAGTATGAAAAACAGCTTGAAGTTCTAAACATGACAGTGGTAGGAAAACTTTAGATGTGTTAGCAGAAAAAATAGACCTCATTGGAGTTTAGTTTTAGTAAGGTCACTCTGCCCTATGTATGTAAGATAAAGCTTTATTTTTTCTTGGTCTGATATGCAAATCATGTTGTTATTAGAAAGCTGAGGTTTTATAACCATAAGAAAATACTCCATAGTTATAACCAGGTCCTAGCACAATGCCTCGTAGTTAGGAAATGTTCCAAGATTTGCTGAATCCAACTCAGTGTTCAGTTGTATCTAATTTGTCCACTTTTACAAACACAATCACTTTGAGAAACTGTATATATAATAAACTCCCGAAAAAAATATTTTTGTCTTAGATCTTATCTTGGCAAAGATCCTCCATTTTATTCTCTAATTTCATTCCATGATTGAAGTTTACTGTTTCTATGGTTATGAATTCTGTCACTCAAGTTCATTATCTCTTTAATAATTCCTTCCTGCTGTGTTGATCCTTTATTTACAGTGGGAAAGGCTTCAGGCCAGGAGATGGAGACAAGAAGGTGGACAACATAAAGTGCTGTCTTATTACTCAGCCTGTGAGTTGGCCGTGGTTTACCTAAGAGAGAGGGAAAAGATTCTAGGAAATTATGGTAACTTTTTATTTCTACAGCCTCAAATAAAAGATAGACATAGCATCAAAATATTCCCAGCTTCTGGAAGGTTCTCTGCGATGGCCACACTGGGGGAGCCACAGACGCAGTACAAGCTCCTGCTGGTGGGCGACAGCAGCCCAGGGAAGAAGATGTTAGTGAAGCACCACCTGACCAGCAAGTTCGAGAAGAAGTATATAGCCACCCTGGGCAGGGAGTTTCCATACCAACAGAGGGCTCATCAAGTTCAACGTCTGGGACCCGGTGGGCCAGGAGAAGTTCAGCGGCCTGAAGGATGGCTACTACATCCAAGCCCAGTGTGCTGTTATCATGTTTGATGTGACATCAAGAGTTACTTACAGGAACGTGCCTAACTGGCATAGAGATCTTGTAGAGTGTGTGAAAACATCCCCATTATGTTGTGTGGCAACAAAGTGGACATTAAGGACAGGAAAGTGAAGGCAAAATCTGTTGTCTTTCAGGGAAAGAGAATCTTCAGCACTATGACATCTCAGCCAGAAGTATAACTCCAACTTTCAAAAGCCCTTCCTCTGGCTCGCTAGAAAGCTCATGGAGACCCTGACTTGGAGTTTGCTGCCATGCCTGCTCTTGCCTCACCAGAGGTTGGCACAGACCCCGATTTGGCAGCTTAATATGAGCATGATTTAGAGGCTGCTCAGACAACTGCTCTACCAGACAAGGACGATGATCTGTGAGGAGATGAAGCTGAAGCCCAGCGTCAGAAGTCTAGTTTTATAGGCAATTGTCAGTGTGTGCCACTTTACTAAAATCTAGCTGGGCAGACGTGTGCTTTATTTATGGAATGCTGAAGGAGATGAATGGGCTTCAGAGCGAATGTTAAAAAAAATACCTGCATTTTTTGGACCTGCATAAGTAACTGTTTGGAATGCACTTGTTTCTTTCTTGAGTTTCGAATATGAC